GGAGGGGGGATAGTAGAGAATAGGATAGACAGCAGAATACATCAGACACTAGAATGGCAATATGTAAATCAATGGAAGGGTAACTGATGTGATACAGCAATCTTTATACGGGGTAAAATTGGGAGTTCATAAGCCACTCGAATCAAACTGTGAAATATGATATATTAAGAACTATGTAATGTTTTGAACGACCAACAATAAAAAAAAAAGAATAACTCATTCTGCAGTTATTAAGATACACAACAAGGCTACTTATCCCCTAAGAACAAGGGAGATGGAGAAAAGCATCTTTCCCCTGGAGAATAGGGGTGATAACATTCTCTGGGGAACAGTTTTTAAATCCCTTAGGTGGCCTCAGTTAAAGGTGTCATCTACTAGGAAAGCTAACATGAGACTACTAATGTATTGCCCAACTTTGTGAATCAAAAATCAGTGATTTTTTTAAAGTCAACTAAGAGCAAGTGAAGCTAGAGGGTTCGTTTAGATTTTGCCATAGTGACAGTTTCATTTGCTCACACACATTTAGGAAAACCCCACACTGCCATCATGGCAGGGAAACCCATTCTTCACTACTTTGATGGACGGGCCAGAATGGAGTCCATCCGATGGCTCTTGGCCGCAGCTGGTGTCGAGGTAAGTTCTGAGTTAGATCATTTTAAATTGGATCTAATATTCACTGTTATTAGATACTTTTCTTACATAAGCTAGGTGATGTTTCTTACTGGATACAATGTCAAGAATTGTACCCTAAACAACACTCTCAATTATTAAGAGATTCACAGACTTTACTAAATAAATTGTCAGTATTCTCATCAAAGAAGATAAACATTAATGTAAAAAATATACCATGATTTGTGGACCTTATTTGGATTTGATTAAACACTATAGAAATAATTCATAAAATTTATAAAAATTAGAAACATGATTATTGATTGAATATTGATGATAATAAATTTTTATTAATGTCTTTGGTGGGATAATATATTATAGTTATTTTTAAATATACTTCCTGTATTTTAGAGAAACTAATTGAACTATTTAAGAATAAAACACTATCATGTGTCATATACCTGAGTGGCATGATACTGTCCTGAATACTGTAGGTGATTGTAACACAATGATAAGCATTTGGTATCTAAACATAAAACAGGCACAGAAAAAAACATGGTTCAAAAGAGGAAATATGAGACACCTAAATGCAGCACTCTATCAGTCCTAGAGTTTTCAGGTCTAGCAATTGCTCCAAGTGAGTCAGTGAGTGAGTGGTGAGTGAAAGTGAAGGCCCAGGTCACTACCAATGCTATAATTTGGATGTGAAAAGTTCCCAAAGGCCCATGTTTTAAAGGAGTGTCCCTAGCCTGAGGCACCACTGGGTGTAGTGGAACTGTTTAGAGGTGGGACCTAGTGGGAGGAGTTCTGTAGCTGAGGGCTTGTTTTTGAGGGGGGTGTGGGAATGCAGCCCCTGTGTCTCTCTTGGTTTCCTGAGAGCCAAGAGGTGTGTGGTTTGCTCCCCCACGTGCTGCCTGCCATGATGTTCTGCCTTGTCACCAAGCAACAGGGCCAAATGACCAGGGACCAAAACCTCTGAAACAGTGATAACCAAAATAACCTGTTCCTCTTTAAAGTTGATTATTTTAGGTGTTTCTTAAGATAATGAAAAGCTGATTTAGCACAATGCACACTTTATAAATCTGTACACACAGGCTATACTCAATTTATTAAAATGGTTTCCTTTCTCAGTAATAAATTAACTTCTGTTTACTGTAAATTTTTTACTTTACAAACTTTTAACTTTTTAACTTTTTGACTCTTGTGTAATACTTAAAATGCAAATATATTGTATAGCTGTGTAGAATATTTTTATTCCTTGTTCTCCATTTTTTATTTTTATTTAATTTTATTTTTTTAAAACTCTTCCATTAAAAGTTAAGAAGCAAACACAAATTCAGAATTAACAATATCACTGTCTTTTCTTCCTCATCGTGTACCACTGGAAGATTTTTGGGGCAGAAACATGTATAGATCTGTCACCTGCTATGATCTCAGTGCCTTCTCCTGCTCTAGCTACTAAGGATCATTCTGATGSTTGTTATGAGGAGGCATCACCATTCAGAAATATGTGCATGGTGGATTGCCTTGTTTTGCTTTTTGTTCATTAACAAATACATAACTTTTCTTATTTATAAATATATAAATATATCATTTTCTTGGAAGCAGATAATGTACCATGAAAAATTCTCACTATTAATGAGAAAATTGTCATTTGAAATTTATGTTTTCAACTTTTAAAAAATTTATTTTTAATACAGGCAATTCTCAGTGATTGTAATTCTATATTTTTTAACCACATTAGCTGAAATGCATATAATTTTTTTAATATTTATTTTTTAGTTTTTAGATGGACACAATACCTTTATTTTATTTTTATATGGTGCTGAGGATGGAACCCAGTTTCTCATGCGTGCTAGGCGAGTGCTCTGCCAATGAGCCACACCCCCATCCCCACAATTTTTAATTTTTTTACAGTGCTAGGGATTGATCCCAGGGCAGTGTGTATGATAGGCAAGTGCTCTACCACTGAGCTACACTTGCAGCCCTTGTGTTTTCAATATTTTGAAGGATCTTATGGAGGTCTTCAAAGGCTTCTACTAAATGCTTCACTGAATTTTGTTCACTGATATATTCACTAATCAATGGGAAATTTTCAGTTCTTTTATAGTCTTATGGCACCATCTTTGTATACAAAGTCAGTGATTGACTGAAACTTTGTTATGGGGCATGACTGTGCATGAAATCCAGGATGGGACTTCTGTTAAACTATTACCAGAAAAGAAGACTGGGTGGGCACCTAGATGAGAGCCTATTGATACCAGTTGATAATTGTTCAAATTGGTGAGGGATAAAGGAGCAACAATATACTCAATTGTTTATTTTTATGAATGTCAGAAATTCCCATTRAAAAAGATCTAAATTCTACCACATAAGAAAATGAATGCAATTATACTGAAAATACACACCACAAATGAGAGGTGGGCAGGAGGAAGGAGACAGTAACAAACTGCCTATTAACCATTGGAACCTATTCATTCAGCATAATTGTGTGGGCACCTATAAAGAACCAGGTTTTGTAGTAGGTCCTGGGGATACCCAGTGAACTAGACAGAGAAGGTCCCTGCCGTTGAGCTGCCCACACATCTGTGATGGATGGGATCAAGCATTTTTCAGGGTTGTGACCCATGCATTTTTCCTGACAGATGTACTATAAATTTCCAGATAGCCTTGACCAGACTCTTCGATAAATATGTCCAATCTCAAAAATCTTACCCCCTTCATATCATAYGTAGACAGGAATGATTCAAGCTGACAAGCATGCAAGGCGATTGAGTGAACTAATCAGGACTCATTTACCTTTTCTGCTCTCCAGTTTGAAGAGAAATTCATGAAAACTCGAGATGACTTGGAAAAGTTAAGAAAAGGTAAGAACAAATATCGTAATACGTCTTAAGAAGATTCCTAGTGGAAAACTGAAAAACCAGACAATACTCATGTATTCGTGAGGATGGCAATGCTGACAGAGGAGAGGTAGACAGTGGTTAAAATGTAAGACCTGGCAACTCTCTGGGGTCTCAAGAGTAAGACCATTGTGAGTCCTTGCTAAGGAACAAACTCAGGGCCCCTTGCATGCCCTCTCCTTGCCTTCTTCACACGCTGAGTGCAATTGGCTCCTGACTAGTCACAGGCTCCCCAACTTCTTGTAAAATGTCCCTGGAGACGAGCTAGACACACAAATATTCAGGGACACACAATGTGTATGTATGGATGGGAAATTAAAACAGCTCTGAGACAAGAGGTTAAAAGTAAAGCAGCTGGATAAGTAAAAGAAGAAACAAAAACTAAAAATAAATTGGTGTCTTACTTGAAGATTTACCAAGTGATAATTTTTCCTCTTGTATCTTCAGTCATTTCCACAAATGTTTTACATTGTGGACATGGGTTACCACATTTCATTCTGTTTGTTTTCTCCTTCCACAAGATGGGAGTTTGATGTTCCAGCAGGTGCCCATGGTGGAGATCGATGGGATGAAGCTGGTGCAGACCAGAGCCATTCTCAACTACATTGCTGCCAAATACAACCTCTATGGGAAGGACATAAAGGAGAGAGCCCTGTACGGTGTATTTTCTATTCTTACATCAACAGATAACATGGGAAGAATTTAGGTTCTTCCTTGAGTGAGAAAAACCAAGGCAGGGAGATCCTGAGGAGCCCCAGGTGGACCCTGGGCATAAACACTGAGGTCAGTGTGGGAGAGTGCTGTGGAGATGCAGGAAGAGTAAGCATGGAGTGGATTCAGGGCAGTGTCATGGAGAGAGGACATGGTTCATAGAGGCTTGCAAATCCTGAGGAACTATGAATTCAGGAAGATGGTGGAATCCTGATTCCATTGCTTAGCTTTAGAGGTTAAACAACCTATGTAATAGCTTGGGACAGAGGAAGGATTTGAGTGTCTAGACTTGAAGGCCTGAGAAGGAAATATCTGAAGCACCTGATTTTCCCTTTCTGGAAAGTATAAGACTGACAGCCAGGAACCTAAGCTACCCTTTTCTTCTATAGATGGGTCAACATGATGAGGGTTGGTGGAGTCTGGTGTCAAGACATGAGGGTGACACAAAGCATTTCATGTAGACTTGAAGAAGTCCACTGATTCAGCACGGGGGTTTAGGTCTCCTCCCTCCTGGGCTGGAACTGCTTTATTGAAAATAACATCTTGAATGGATCTGTGGAAAGTTCCTCAAAAATTTTAGAGTTAGCAATACCCCAGCAATTCCAGAACTAGGGATATACCCAAGAGGAATRAAAATACATCCTGAGTGGTATTTGTCCACGAATATTCACAGCTGCATTGTCATAATACCCAAGTAGTGGAAATAAACTAAACATCCAATGGATGAATGGATGAAGAAAATTTCTTTGGTCATACAATGGAATAGTATTTGCTATCCAAAGAGATGAAGTACCAATGCATGTAGCAACATGATGGACCTTGACAACATTATATCACATTAAATAAACCAGACCCCAATCACATTTTGTATGATTTCTCTAGCATGAAGGTGAAGAACACTCGTATCTACAGGGATGGAAAGGAGATTAGTATTTTCTAGAGCTGGTAGGAGAGGTGGTATACATGTTTGTTAATCTACCCAGCATGGTTAAAATGCTCTGGAACTAGAGAATATAAWTATTTGCAAAATTCTGTGAATGTACTTAAAAAATCACTGAATAGTAGACTTTAATTGGGTGACAACTATGGTGTGAAAATTTGTCAATAAAATTGATTTTTAAAAAGAATTTTGAAAAACCCACTTGAAGCAAAAGAAATGAAGCTTTCCTATGTCATGAACTTATTGTAACTATATAAAGAATTGCAGCAAGTAGAGGACTTTTCTTAGGTGGGGATCACAAGAAATGCAATCATGGCAACAGTATATGGAACGGATTAGGGA